AAATTTTTTTTGGTTAGGGCAGAAAAAATCATTTTACATTGAAAAACTATTTAAAATATCCATTTTACATTTAAAATGAATTCGAAAAACCCATTTTGCATTTTAAATACACTTTTTAAAAGTATTTTACAATTAGTATTTTTAATGGAATTCGAAAGGTATTTTACCCAGCCCTGCACATAATTTAACCGTAAAAATGCGACATTTTATTAAAATATTATATTTTTGACAACAATTCAAATCAAATAGAAATAAAAATAAGATAAAGTTATCATCGCTCTTTCTCTCTCTCTCTCTCTCTCTCTCTCTCTCTCTCTCTCCCCTTCCCCCTCTCTCCATATTAAAATTAAAGTTCATTCAAAATTGAAAACAAAATTCTTATGAACCAAATTTAAATATAATACCATAAAGATAACCAAGTCGTATTCCGTCAATAACAACGTGATATAAAAATATTTTTTATATTACTGTAAAAGTACACAAAATTTCAGCAATGTCGATTAATTGGGAATGTAAATAACAAAATTATTGTCGTGAAAAAATTACGTCACATCTTGAGATTGATGGAACACCAGCGTGCAATACATCATACAACTACGGAACAGGAGAAATCCTTTAATCATCAGAAATCAGAAATTAGTAATTACGAAACTAGTGAATGTCGTACATCATTCGAATACTCCATCGTATAATTTTAATTGATTGAATCTAAGCGCGTTATTCAATCAAATGTCAGAATTAAAAGAAAATTAAATTTTATTTTCATTACACTCTGAAAAATATCGATATGAATTTAACATCATGCGATGTCTATATAATCACTATATTAGTTATATATTAATATCTTAGTTAATATTAAATAAACACCAAGACAGAATTATATAGGTGTTAAATTCATATCAAATTTTTTTAAAGTATATTTTTTAAAGTATATCATTTGTATTATGCTGATTTGATACACATGACATGTATGGATAAAAGATATCTATCGCTATGTACCTATATCATAAGAGAAAGCAGAAGGTAAAGAATAGTACTGTGAAATTCGTTACAAGAACATTGTAATTAAAATATTATAAAGTTATATCAGCAGATGTAGATTCAATTTAACACAGATATTCGTTGTCTCGTGACTCTCTTGTGACAACTCTTGTGAAACACGGCGTTCAAAAGGATTTTGCTATTCTTTGCATGTCTGTCTCTTTCTTTCTCTCTTTCTTCCTCTCTCATTTTATATTTTAGTAGCCCTTTATTTCATGTCTTTTTTCGTCTATCTCATTTTTAGTCAATCTCTCTTTCACCTCCTCTGTCCAAGCGTTACCATCAAAGTAAAATCGATATTGTTGCGTCAAATCGTTTAAAACTTAGAGAATAGCCACTAAAGCAAAGTTTACTCCACAATTCTTTAATACATTTTATTAGGGAAGGTGTGGAAGAGACTAGCTTATTATTTAGCGATAATTAAGCTTCTAAAAGAAGATTTGAAGATATCCTCAACTTAACTTCCATTGAACGAGCGAGAAGCGATAACGTAACGAAATATCGCACGCTGAACGGAAGATTGATTAACGATTAGATTGAAACTGTGCAATGTGCATTAGCTCTAAGAGAGCTTACGATTTTCTTAAATAGATATCCTATTTACTTTTTTAACTTAAATTATATTGTATGAAAACGTACAGGATCAAATCAATATGTTTATGATATTGTACGAACTTATATACAACAAAGCAAAATGAAAATTTTCGTGTTATATTTTGTAAAACTATCATTACGCTCATTCTTCGTAATACAATTCAATTAATTAAAGTTAAAGTTAAAAAAATGCATTCGATATACAACGCATAAATAGATGAATAGACTAAAAATCGAAATAAATGCACGCCGGAAAAAATTGATACAAAGATTGAGGAAATATGAAATGTTCGCAATTAATTTATTATCGCAATAAACCCAGGGTTTAAGATTTAGGATACAATGGTGCGCAATACATCTTGCTATTTTGCACCGATCTAGTAGATGTCCTTAATCACCTTTCACAATTAATACATGACAAACTTATGTAATTAGCATATTATTCCGCGTAGTTTCCATGAGTAAATGATCGTTATTTCTAATTGTAATATAATCTCATCTTATCGAGCTATAATAATGTTTCGGAGTTTTTGTTAGGTACCCAATAATTTATTCTTGGCAGCAACGCATAATTATCGAAAATGAAGCCTTATGTAAGTTACATTCAAATACAGAAAATATATATATATAATGTGAATTCTGTATTATTCTACAAATCTGAACATGATATTGCGATATTCACGTAGAGATCGAAACACAAATACGAACTAAACTCGTAATATTTGTCATTGTGTAAATATTATAAATCGGAGAATTAAATTCACTAGAAACATATATACATATGTATATATTCCAACATTTATGCCCCACGGCAGATTTAATCGTGTTATATCGTATCACATATATTGTATTATTACCGCGAGTATTCTATAAATGTCCGAAAATTTCTCACGTTTAAATTCCACTATTATTAAGCATGTTGAAATATAATTCATACACATACCTTGGCACATTATTGTGATAATGTGCAGTATACTAATAGTTAAGTATCGACTTCTTCTTTGTCGGTCTGCCATTTTTCCGTTGATATTCACGTCAAGTTCCAAAGCTAATCTGTAATAAAAAAAAAGTTCAAGAAATCTTGAGAAAGATCATGAGAAATACATAACCAAGTGTGTGTCAAATATTTATATATATTATAATATATCTGCTATAAACTCATTTAGATTTTCTTTTAATGAAGTAAGTCAAGAATGTGCGCTATTCGAAGAATGGATGATTTCAATATAACAAAATTATGAAAGAATTACAGATTATTCTACATTACACTTAAATATAATATGACAAATTTGACGATTTACTATCTGGATTATAAGTTATTTCAATAAATAGTAATACTTTTTTAATTTGTACTCTAATAAAAATTTATGAAAATGAATTATAAAATAAAGGATAAAAAAATCTCAATTTTTTTTAAGTTTACCTTTTTTACCTTTTTTATGTATTCTAAATTATTTATGTAAAGTTACACTATGATACATGAACCAGTCCAGTAAATAAACAAAATGTTTATTTTTTTTATATCTTTATTATTAATCAGTGAATTGCAATGAAACTTTGCATAAGTTATTTCCAGGATTGAGTAAGTTAATGAGTTTTTAAACTAAATTAAGTTAAAGTTAATGGTTTATAAAATTAATAAAATTAAGTTAAAAGTTGAAGGAATAAAGAATTAATTTAATAAAAATTAAGTTAAGATTGAATTAACTTAAGTTTAAAAAAGTTAATTTAAAAAAAAGTTATTTTTGAGATCAGAATGTCATTTGAGATCAGAATCCCAATTTTTCTTAAAATGAGATTATTTTAACACTTACAAATATAGATTATTAGGTTTTATATTCATATGTAAGTTACTTATATATAATAAGAGTCACATCATAAGGCATTTTTGTCAAAATCTTGCGAGAAAGAAGGATATATATTTGCATTATTTCTCTTTCTTTAATCTTTATCTGACTTTCATTAATTTCTGAAACGTCTGCATGTTTACGATTAATGATGTAATCATAAAAATATATGTAACAATTTAGAAAATGGATGGATGTGCAGTATATAACAATTCTTCATTTAAGACTCATTTCATAATTATGTTGCTAAAATATAATGTTTATGATACCTAAAATTAGTATGATTTTAATATAAGCGATAATTGACAAAATCTAGCGAATCAATAAAAACTAGCTACTATATGGTAACTCTTATTATAGATTTCTCGTCATAAAATCATTGAACTTTTTCTAAATTAATTGTCTAATATTTAACTTTATATAGAAAAAAAAAATTTGCATTAAGAGATATAGAAAAATTTGTAATTTAAAAAAGTTAATAAATTAAAGTTTAAAAGTAAAAAGTTTAAATTAAATTAAAAATTAATGCATTTAAAATTAACTAAATTAAGTTAAAAATTATTGACTTTTTAACTTTTAATGTTTTAGTTACTATTCCAACCCTGGTTATTTTGAATTTAAAGAACTTATAAAAAAAGAATTTAGATTTTTGTTATCATTTAAATTTTAGTTCATAGCAATAAAAATGACAAATAAAATAAATAAAGTGTAAAAATATATTGTTCAATAAAAACGGAATGTTTTGAACACTTTTATATACAGGATATGATTAACGATAAAACTCTCGCATAGCGGCAGAATAGACTAAACTGAGTCGAAAATACTTTTATTATTTTGCAATTTTCGTGCAATAGTTAACAAGATATTAATTAAAATCGTTGAATATTGATTTTCAATAACTTTTATTCAAATACTATCAATTTTACAGAAACAACAGAAAATAAAAATTGTTTATTTTTATTCTTATAAAATTCTGAGAATTTTTTCAGAATTTTGTAATACTGTGTTTCTCATGTTGGGAAAAATAGTTGCTAATAAAGAAGGCAATACTAAGAAATTGATAAAAAATTCTGAAAAAATTCTTAGAACTCTGTGATAAGAAAATAAACAATTTTTGTCTGTTGCTGTTTTTCCGTTCTTCCAAAATCTCTCAGGTTTTTCAGCGAAAAACTTTTCTAAGTGATTTTTTACCTCGACTAAAGAATTAAAGTTTTTTCCTTTAAGGGAATTTTGTAATGATCGAAATAGGTGGAATCAGAGGGCGCGAAGTCTGGTGAATATGGTGAATGGGGTAGAACATCCCAACCGAGCTCCAACAACTTTTGTCGAGTTATCAAAGAGGCTAACATGAGGCCGCGCATTGTCCTGATGAAACACGACGCCTTTCCGATTCGCTATTTCTGGACGTTTTTGTTCAATTGCTGTCTTCAATTCGTCTAATTGGGAATAATATTTCTCTGAATTTATCGTCTCGTTGTTTGGTAAAAGCTCATAATACAGGATCCCTTTCCAATTCCACTAGACACAGAGCATGACCTTTTTTGGATGAAGACCGGCTTTTGGGATGGTGAGGGCTAAAGGTGGTTCATTCCGCTTTCTCCAAGATCTTTTTCGCTCAACATTATTGTAAATGATCCATTTTTCATCCCTCATCACTACTTGTTTCAAAAATGATGTTTTCTCGTTGCGTTTATAGAGCGAGTCGCAAATAGAAATGCGATCCATCAGATTTTTCTCCGTTAAATCTTGGGGAACCCATACATCAAAACGGTTTATGTAACCAAGCTTCATAAAATGCTCGTGGATGGTGGATTTTGACATATTCAACATTTCTGCTAATTTATGTGTCATATAGCGTGGGTTATTCAGTGTTTTAATCTGATCTTCATCTGTGGTGAAGGGTCTACTCGAGCGTTCTTGATTGTTCAAGATTGAAATCACCAGCTTTAAACTAGCAAACCATTTCTGCACAGTTCTTTCAGCTACAATACCTTCGTCATAAACAGCGCATATCTTGTTTGCCGCTTGTGTGACATTTTTGCCTTTCCGACAAAAGAAAAGCATTAAATACCTAAAATGCACTTTATTCTCTTCCATATTCAAAAGTGTATAAAACTGACAAAAATTACGCGTATCGCAACCAAATTTTTTTCCAAGTATGCCTGAAGTACCGTCTTTTACGATATGTACGCATGTCATTTGTTTTCAATCAACGTATTCTGACATATTCAGACCTGTCCTTACGCCACCTACCAAAAATCGGCACGAACTTTTCGGACAACCCAATTAAAACATATATTTTATATATAAAATCAAATTTCATTTACATGTATTGTTTTCTTTTAAGAAATTCGTAAAGTACCGTTGATTTTCTCTATAGTGTCTCTCCCCCCCTCTCCTTTAATATCTTGTTAACTATTGCGAAAAGTGCAAATTAATAGAGAATTTTTCAACTCAATTTAGTCCCTTCTGCTGCTATGCAAAAGTTTTATCGTTAATTATGAGAACTCTGTATAAAGAGTTTGCTCAAAGTATAAATATTAACATATTTATTTAAAATGATGCCCATACATCCTTAAAACAAGCGTAGAAATAAAATTCATAAAAACAATCGTAAGCAGCGATACATATTTATCATTAATAACACAGTTTACCGCGATCGTTACACACTACTCATGTCCGTGAGATCATAGATTATTAGTGGTCTTCAGCAAATAATCCTATTCTATCACTAAAAGCACGATATAAATCTAGTACAACAGATGAGAGCGTGGGATACATATATATATACACGTCAATCTGGCATAATGTGCACAAATGCATATTGCAATGTTGCAATATGCCGATTGGTCGGAAATGCATACAACCGTGAAATCATTAGCGCATGACTAAGTCAGTGTAATACACAAAGATACAGTAATTAACAAACGTCCAATGTTAATCAGACTTATTGACGTGAAATATGTGTATTATATCGTTCGACAAGATACAACTGTTGTTTATGGTCTTGCAATTTGATATCGATAATGTTCCAACGATAACTCATAGTACAAGATTATATTGTTTAAAATGATTCGATGAATCAAATAATTATTTATCACATCATTAATATAAGCTCGGGAAGCGCCACAGAAAAAAAAAAGATATATACATATATACACAGTATTTCGAAAATAATGATAAATCAAAATAATGAAATCTTTTGTATAGGAGCAGTATGGACTAAACTGAGGAGACATATCCTGTACCAATTTTCGCAATAGATAAAAGAATTTTTTAAGAATTTTTTAATATCGTATTTCCTCATATTGGTAAAAATGGTTAGAGAAAATGCAGTACTAAAAAGTTGATAAAAAATTCTGAAAAAATTCGTAGAATTCTATGAAAAGAAAATAATTTCCGTTTCTCGCAGTTTTTCTTGATAGAATTTGAGTAAAAAATTATTGAAGATCAATTTTCGGCAATTTTTAATAATTAATATCTTTTTAATTATTGCAAAAATTGCAAAATGAAGACTTTTCTTTTCAGTTTAGTCCACTCTACTTCTATGCGAAAGATTTATCGTTATTTTTCAAACATCTTGTACTCGAATAAAACTTAAGTATTCAATCCAATTAAAATAGTAGTTTTAATTTACAGTAAAAACACTTGGCGCTGCTAGATCGAGTAAGAAAAATTATATAAAAAAAAATTATATAAAAATTATATATAAA